TTCAAGGTGCTGGGGAGGAGGTGGTGTTCAAGGTGCTGGGGAGGAGGAGGTGTTCAAGGTGCAGTCGTGGTCTGTGGAAGAGCCACAGTTTGGAGGTTTTGCAGCCAGTGTCCTTAATGTAGGTGCAGACCTTTAACATACGCCCTAAAACTGACCCGGGGTCAGATCTCCTCGTTTCTCTTCATCGTGGTGCCTTCAGTGGTTCTACTCGTTTCACATCAGTGTAGAGGAGGGAGAGGGGGGAGGCTACAGTAGATCTTTCTAATGAAACATTCTGTTTTTCCCCTTCATTGCAACTCAAGGAGGAGGTGTACGGCCATGAGCATTTCTCGCCCTACCACATTTCTCATTTCCCCCCCCCCTCTCTCTCTCTGTGTGCCTTCGTGTCCTTCCCGGTCCGTCGCCCTCAGAGCGATGTGTCCTGGTGGATCGACTGCAGACAGCCCAGCAGCTGGTAATAAGGGCTGCCTGGCGAGGCCACCGTCTCAAAGACGGACTGGAAAGCCCTCCGGTCCAGCTCCTCGTCGATCTGGTGCCGGTAGAAATCCATGGCCACCAGGCAGAACAGGTTGACGTCCACCACCTCACTGGAGCCCATTCGGCTGATCACGTGTGGCAGTCTGGTTAGAGAGCGGGGCGGTTAAGGACAACAGACAACACTATTTGTACCTTTACACCCACATACAGTATAGATACAACCCAGTCACAGTCCTGCTTAGTGGGATTCATGTGAGGATACAGGGCTGAGATCCACTGGGAGGTGGAAGCAGAGACAAAGAAACAGGAGAGGCTCCACATGGCCATGGCCACCGGTGTCCTCTGAGTGAAGTTGGACAAGGAGAGCAGCACCCAGTCTCGCACCATAGAGGACTGGCCTGTGGCATGGAGGGTCTGGAAAACCTGGAGGTGGGTGCAGAGCCGAGGGAGGAAAAGAAGAACGTAGACGGAGACAAATGTATTGAGATGAATGATTACCGAAAAAGATCTGTCCAAATAAGATCACTAATTATCTTACAAAAGCGTCATTAACTTGGGTTTGAATTCCTGTTAACGGTCTAATAAGTGCACAGATCTCATTCATTCTGTATTTTAAATCCCTGAACAACAACAACTGGAAAGCCCTCTCTGCTCCAGCTTGATGTTGTCTTGACAACTTATTGTCTGATTGGACAACAGGAGCTGGCTGGGTCCAAACAAAGGTAGCTCGTAACAACTTCACTGAGACGTCAGTGAAATTCTCTTTAATGCTCCGTGTAAGAAGACAACTCTTCAGCATTTCTGTGGCCACAGAATAATCACATTTGTGTGAACCTCATGTACAGAATATTATTACGTTTTTAATCTGGTTATTGTTTGGCTTTAAATGCATTAATAATGATCCAGCGATCGCTCAGCCCTGCTGCTGACCTTGTAGACGACAGCGGCCATGAACTGAGGGTACGGCTGCTGATTGGACAGGAACTCTCCGATGACTTTGTTCATGACGTCCTGTGGCGGGAAGAAGTCGTCCAAAAACTGGGGCAGAATCCTGGACACCACCCGAGCTTCGCTGGGTAAACCTTTTCGGATCCTGCAAACAGGAAATGATGACGACGGTGTAAACAAGACAAAGTGTTGCTACTGTCGTCAGAACGTTTATTATTCTGGACGCCACAAACCCACAGAGAACTATTTTAAGTATTAATACAAGACTATGTGCATGACTCGTACAACGGAGGACGCGTGCGTTTACCTGTCGAAGAGAACAGAGACCCTCTCCATGGCCACGATGATGGACTCGCTGTCTGGGGCCTGGGGGTCGGAGTGGGCAGGGCGACTGGCAGGGCTGGCTTTCTCCTTTCCTGAGGAGAAACCAACATGACCGGCCGTGACGCCCACCGCCTCTGCCGCGGCAGAGCCAGAGTCAACCTGACCTCTAACCCCTGTCACGCCTGAACCCGACGCAAGCACCGCTGAGAGGACGAGAGGGGGGTGGGGAGGGGGGGGGGGGGGGGGGGGGGGGTGGGTTGCACCGGTCGAACCAGTGGGGGAGACGTTAGAGTGGGCACCGATATCACAAGATTCAGAAGATGGGTGAAATTCTGGGCGCTGTCAAAATAACCGTCTTCAGGTTTGCTGTAAGTGACTGGTGCCTAAAGTATTAGCAGAGATTGTCTGCTGGGTACATTACGCTCTCATGTGACCTGAAGGTGCTGCAGCTTGCTTTGCTGTACTGCACATGAAGAGAGGTTTGCCTAAAGTTATAACTCAGTTTGCATTTTGGACAATACGCTAAAAGTTGCTAGAGTTAGTAGGGGATGACGTAGGGGTTAGAGGTAGGGTATATCAGAGGTATAGAATACAAGTATCACATGCAGAAAGCGAGCAGCTTTGTTGTTTATTGCCGTCACAGGCATCATTACAGGGTTGGTAGGAACTTTAAAAAAGAGATCCGTTAAGCTGTAAAGAGTATTATGGATGCAAATGACTTGTAATGCATGATAAGATTCACAGTAAGTACATTAACTATTGTAATACTAGTGTGTACTGTAAGCTGCATGCAATGGTGACATGCACAACATGCGTAAGCTCAGAGGCAGTAATACATTCAGACATAATTCTTAGGACTGTCCCAGTTCTGCCCCATAACATTCCCCTCAGAGTCGCCCTTTGATATGAGACACCAGCAGAAGCCAGGAGTGGAGCTGGATGGAGAATAGTTAAATATGATAACGGGACACCACCACATTTTACTATACAAACGATTAGAAAGGAATGCGTCTGGGATGAGAGTACAGGACAGAAATGGGACACGTCCTCACTGAAGCAGTACTTACATTAGTTAAGCCTGCAGAGCTTTAAGCATTAAGCGTTACTCAATGACAATGCACCAGTAGGGTTAACTGATGATTAAGTAGTCTACTGCTATTTAGAGTGCCCATGCAGGTGAGCACCAGTCCTTCTACAGTGCATGCTGGTGATTTAGGCAGAATGCTACATTGTTAGAGCCCTTCTTACCGGTGTACATGCAGGTGAGCATGAGGCCCAGGGCGGCCATGGCTCTGTGTGGCGACGGCATGTTGACTCTGTCCACGCTGAGTTTGACCAGCGCTTCTCCGTCCACCCGGGACAACTGCTCCGACAGCAGGAGGCGCTCCAGACCGCGCAGCACACAATGATAGATGACGGAGGGAGTGGAGTCCTCGCTGGCCGACACCATCACACCACACAGCTGGAAGACAGCGACGAAGGCAGGAGACAGAGAGAGAGGAACACTAGCATATCAAATAATTCATAACCATGAGTGTAAAACTTCTAATGCTTAGATTGTGACAGAAATCAAAGTCAAAATGATGGAGTTTTTATGTCTTTTAAACTTTTGTCCCATCCTGTAATGGTGCCGTACACCCCCTTGTTTACCTGTATGATTCCAGCCATAAACTCGGCTCCTACATCCAGAGGGTAGTTCTCCATCATGTAGAAGGCCACGGCACACATCACCAACACATGCTGCTGGTTGTGCAGGTTCACACAGCTGCAGCACACAAAGAGAGGCCATGTATGTGAGGCCATGTATGTGATGGGCAGCACCTAGTGGCCAAATGCTGCGCTGCACTCTTGGTCCTCGTCTCAGATCAAAAGAATTTGTCTGACAAATCGAGGTGATAGTATCGTCCTCTGTAGCCCTAAGCTGGATGAAACTAATTCAATCTAAAATCCACTTACTTTACCGCCATTTAACACGTTTGCTCCACCCTTCATCATCATCTCAGCTCATTAGATGATGAAATGAGGTCAGTGTCTGTTTCTGCATCTGATAGAACAGAGAGCGTTACTCACTGAGCGATGGCCCTGAGGTTGGACAGCAGGTACTCGGAGACGGTGGGGATGAGCTGTTTGGCCGTGTCGTCCAGCAGGTCACACTCCAACACATACAGCACTCCATGCAGAGCTCCCATGCGGCTGGGCAGGTGGGTGCTGCGCAGGGTCGTCTCCAACAGGCGACAAACGGGCTCCGCTATCGCTTTGTCCTACAAATATACATTTAGGTTATTTATACACTAAAGCAAGAGTTCACGGGGCTTCATGTCGGGCCAAAGATTAGTGGCACTGCTCAATCCCCTCCTATATGAAAGTTAACCTTAAATGATTTAGCAGCGAGCCTCATTACTCTGTATAAGTAACCTCTTCCCTGTTGGCGGAGGTATAGCTGGTATGTAGGATATTAGACGAGGAGGACACACACACACACACACACACACACACACACACACACACACACACA